GAAGCGGCATGTTGTACTGCTTGACATTCACACCAGAAACTCCAATACAAATATTTCAGAGTATTTGGGTGTCAATCTGAGGATAGTGCAGAGGATTCAGAAAGAGTTGGATGAGTTTAATGATGATAACGAAGATGTTTGGAGTGATTACTAGTGATGGCAATGTTATGCCTTCATTTATTTTCCCACAGGGCCTCAGACTCAGCATGGAGACCTAAATTAAGTGCCTTGAGAAGATAGTGCTGCTCTTGGTCAGGAGGGTGACTGCTTGAAGACCCTATGTGCTGTAACAGGACTCTGTACCATGCCACACAAGTAGGAGAACCTAATCATGGCTGTCAGACAATTTCTGAGACCACATCATCCCTTATACCTTACCACATATCTCCCCAGACTGTAATCCCCTTAATTATTATGTGTGGGGTGCAATACATAAATAAATACAATATGGGAGCTGTTAATAGAGAAACCACAGCAAAGCTTCAGCAGCAATAAAAAAAAAAAAAAAAAAAAAAAAAAAAAAAAAAAAAAAAAAAAAAATTAAAGCCTCGGAGACTGTAGTCAAAGCATGACCAGCAATGGCAATGTCAACAATAAGTAGGTTATGTTTAAGGTGCCAAGTTCTAAACTCAAGATTTTCTCTTTGGATAATAGCTGAGGAAGTTTAATGCAATGGTTTGGGAATTTGGTGACAGTAATTGTGAGTCTAGTGCTTTGGCTTGGTAGAGTTAGACTCAGTGGAAACAGGGCAAGCAATAACTGAGCATTATGAAATACTAGCTTAAAAGGGTGGCATTTAAGCTAGCTCCTGCCGTGGGTTCATGTTTGGGCCTTCATCACAATAGGTATGGAGGGATAGATATGATAAGCAACAATAAACTACAGAAGAACTCAAAATTGATTGCTGCATTTATGTATTGCATTAATATCTCGGCTTACCTTTTAAAAGTTCAACAATAATTCTTCTGCTACCACTTAATTTAAAGACAATTTGATGAACATAGGTCCTTTCCATACAAACAATTATTTTTATTTCATCGGTGACTTTTGCTGAATTTCACAATTTCAATTACTCCAAAATTTATTTCAAAGTTATAAAAATTGTTATTGTACAAAAAAATTAATTGCAAAAAATCACGTTAAAAAAAAATAATTGAAAACAGCCGCAGTAAGAAAAGCTTAGGAAGCCAAAATTTTAGGATTGTGTTCCAGATCCAGCAGAGAATATTTTACTTTGTTCCCAGAGTCGGTCTGATTCCAAAATGGTATGATATATTTGGCTATGGGCTCTAGGAGTAAAGTTTCAAAAGTGTGACACACTGACATTGGCACTTATATAAAAGAACTAAACTAGGTATCCCTAGACATGGGCATGGAGCAAGAACTATTAATTGAAAGTTCCCTGAAGTTTAATCAGATCAATAAAAGATTGGAGGATACAATGGCTGAAATGTTTTGATGATAAAAGGTCAGATCAATAATCTCAAAGAAAATAGTAATTCATTTTTCCAGAAATTCAGAAATAAATTTTATTGTAAAATATTCACAAAATTGGCTCTTTGAAGATAATACAACACTTCATGATTTATACATAAATAGCTTTCCTTTCTTTTTCTCTATAGGGTGAAACACTTTAAAAAAAAAATGTGTGTGATTGTGGCGGTGTAGTGACCGGAAAGCTTAGCTAATTACTTTATCTGTCTTGCTATTTGAATATTGGTTATTTATAAGTAAGACTGGTTTTTCAGAATCTTCAATGTACTTGCAGTGTATTTTTCAGTAATGTTTACATTAGTCCCTGATCATTGGAAATCGTTTTCTTCCTGGTTTTCCAAATGTGAATCCATTAGCAATATATTTGCATTGTACTTTATCAAATTCTGTCAATTTCTGATCACTAACAATTCTGCCATGTGGTTGTGAGTTCAATTCCTGGTTCAGCAGGAACAAACAATAATTAGCATCACAGGGACAAAATAACATAATCAAAAGATACCCCCCATGCCAGCCAAACAATAGACATCTGGTATTGGCTGGTGAGTACTTGGCTGAAATGCTCTCTGTAATGATATCTATAAGAAGATGAGGATTTTACTTTGAAACAATTCATTTACTAGTTTTCGATTTCAGACCATACAGTTTGGGTACCAATAAATGCTAGAATAAATTTTAGGCAGAGAAATATTTTGTTTGATAAGCAAATTAGCTCTCTCTTTTGTCAAAAATATCTTGTTAGTGCATGAAATGACTAAAAGTAAAGAGGAGGAGTAACAAAAATCAATTGGCATTGATAAAACCCATTAAAACTTTGTTTGAAATAAGTCTGTGATTGTTTAATTTCCTAGTTTCTACTGCCAGAATTTATTTTCTATATTACAAGTGAGTGGGTATTTTCATTGCAGTGATGGGAATTCCCATCATCTGTTGATTTAATTGGGTAGTGTAATGGTTATCAGCATGTGGGTTCAGTGAGCAGAATTGAAATCCTGGTTATGTCTGCTGTTTTCACTTTCACATTAATTGTCTTGCAAAGAGCATAGATCCATCTCTTCTCCAAAGTATGGGTTAAATAACAGGATAGACTGGACTATCTAGTCTTGGGTGGCAGCCAGTCTAGGAGAAGGATTTGTCTGAATTTAAAACTGGGGAAGGAAATGGGGAAATAAGTCTGCTATAAATCCTAAGAAGTTGTACTAATTCATATAGTCATCATAATCATCCACCACCTTTGACATCCCAATGTTTGGTTGGAATTGACAATCCCTTTCCACACTGTTTGATCCTGCATTGCTGTCCCTAGATCCCCAATGTCCAACCCTGAGTCACAAGCTATGGTGTATGGGGAAAGTCAATTTTTGTGGGAAGATACTTCCTGAAGGATGCCATAGGAGTAAGGATAAGACGATTTCCCTGTCCGCTTGATGGCAGTGTCTGGCAAACTGTAATCATTTTTTATTTGAGCTCAAGAGAGCTTGGTCTCGGTTCTCCATAAATTGTATTAAGTGTTGCATAGGAGCTCCAGCTGATGCTCAGGATTTTTCTAAGTAGACGTGTATATGTTCCATCCAGTTGTCTTTCAAGATGAACAGATAATGTCCAAGTTTCTGATTCATACAGTAGGATTGGTTCAATCAATGTTCGAAAAGTTTGGACTTTTAAGGAGAATGGAAGGTTTGAGCATCAAATCTTGTGAAGTTGTTACACACGTCCCATGCAAGAACTTTGTGGATGTTGAAGTCTTTTTTGGGAATCTAATATGTGATCATCTTATTATAAAACGCAGATTGTGTGTGTCTGTCTGTACGTTTATATATTGGATCGGATTTCTTACATTTTTCAACCGATTTCAACAAAACCTTCACGGGACTGCGTAAAATTACCTTGCAGTGGTTCTGACAGCGCAAAAAATTGGAAAAGCACAATTGTTTTTGCACAAAATCAATTTGAAAACTTGATAAAACACAATTCTATCGCCAGAATGAAAGGGGGACAACTCATATCGAGTTATACTTATAAAACACAGGTTGTTTGTGTGTGTGTTTGTTTATATATGGGATCGGATTTCCTACATTTTTCAACCGATTTCAACAAAACTTCATTTTTTTTTTTTTTTTTTTTTTTTGGCAGGTAGTGTTTCTTATTGTCTTTGCTTTTTATTTTCTTTATTTTACATTCAGAATGCTTTAAAAATTCCATTTACAAGACAATTGTTTATAATAAAATTCTATTCAATCGATAGACTCATAACAATTGAAAACAATGTTTTTTGTTTGAGTTTGGGTTTGACCAATTCGTAAAAACAAAACAAAAAAAAACAAAACTGATTAAGACATGCATGTCCGTGAACCTTAAACAATAATCTTTGTCAATTTTATTTTTCAGTCTTTATGATGGTCGAATACTTGATGTATCTCTTGCTGTTACATCCCCGGGCAACGCCGGGCTCTACTGCTAGTAGATAATAAAAAGTAAATAGGAATCTGTAGAGACACACAATTGCTTATGTACTGGAGGGACATGGCATTTAAAAATAAATCCTCTCATGGTTTACATTACCAGCCCTTTTTGGAGAGGACTTATTAATAGCTGTTTAGTTCAGATTTCTATATTGATCTTTTTTTAATCTCTGTGTAGCTTAGGTCTTTTTTGTTTTGTGTCACAAATGTTCTCTTCCTTGGGAGTTGATATAATATGAAATGAAAGAAATGTAAGATACTAAATAAGAATAAAACAAAATGTCTCTAGATATGGACAACACAATGAGAATAATCTCTCCTCATAGATTAAATAATTGGTTTGAAATTCTGATGGTTAGCCGGATCAACAAGCACCTGATGAAGGCTGGAGAGTATAACTGCCAAAACATTATAATAATAACAAGAAAGATGATGAAAATAGTTCACATATAAATAATGATAACTCTTCATTCCTAAAATTCACACAGAAACCATAATTTTGATAAGGAGAGTTTTGAAGAAACATTTTCAAAACATGTTGCAACTGGATAAATAAATGAAATATATTCCTGTCATTTCTCTCTCTCTCTCTCTTCCCTTTTTTTTTTTTTTTAATGGAGGTATAAGGTTCCAATTTCTACACTTAGGATTGTCCCACATGACAATAGTGTAGTGGATTAAAGTATTGCTTCATGTGTTTTGGTGATATAGGAATTGAGTTAAACCTTTGGGCTGGTTTGTACAGACTTACACTCAGTGGAGACAGGGCAAGCGATAATTGAATATGACTAAATAAGCACAAAGACGAGATATCCCTAGACTTAGCAGGATGAGAACAATCTACCCCTGTAGATTAAATATAGGATACAGTTATGACGGCGACCAGAGGAAATAATTATTTATTTATTTATTTTTTTTTTATTTTTTTATTTATATTTGTTTTTTTATTTTTTTTTTAATTTTACTCATGAAATCTTGGTTTAAATTTGATTTCATGTTTTGTAATTTCAAGAATATGAATTTTATTTTTTCTTTATCTTTCAGCAAAAAAGGATTTAAAGTGCAATCATTTGGAACAGGGTCACAAGTTAAACTCCCTGGCCCTTCACCTGAGCGTCCTAACATCTATGATTTCAACACAACATATGATGAAATGTACAAGGATTTACTTCGGAAAGACAGTGAACTGTATCCTTAAATTTTGTATTGATTTTAGTATTTGGAATTGAAAATCTTCAGCGATATTTGTCCTCTACCTAAAGTTATTCTTTCTTTCTTATCTCTTGATTGTTGTTAGTTTTTGCATCAAATCTCCTGGTTGTCAAGGTTTAATTACCACTTGTGCGACAACCTTTTATTAACTAGTATATTGAGCATTGGATTATTATCAAAAATTGATTCCCCCCTCTGGAAAAACCTTATAGATTGAGCACTGGATTATTGTGAGGGCGAATGCCCACCTTTTTTTTTTTTTTTTTTTTTTTTCTTGAAAGTTAATCAATATTTTCAGCATTTAAGCCATAAGGCTGGCCCTATTGAATTACAAAGAGCTTACCAAATGACAAAAATCGCATCACTTGAAAACTTATGATAGTAACAACAACAAAAAAAGAGTAACAAATGCAGTGAAAACCATGATATAATCATGATGTTGGTTTTCCACACAACCTTAAACAAAAGGCTTGAAAGGAAACTCTTAACAATACTAGGTGATGTGACAGATAATGGACTTGAAAAGTTTTTCCTGAAAAACTTATGAAAAAGATTTTTATAAAATTCAGCCAACATCATAGCTGATGTTAATCTCCAGGGCAGTGACTTCTTGTGTCATCTCAGGCTAACATTTTTTTGCTGGCATGAAGTGGAAAGATTGTATTGAATCAATTGCTCAATCTGCTACTAGGGATGTTGGTTCACTGTGTCATGCAAGACAATTTTTCTCGCACTAGAATCTTACATATTTATAAGTCTACCCTTTATCCGTGCATTGAATATTGCTGTCACATCTGGTCTATTGCTCCTGCTATATATTTAGAGATTCTTGGTAAAATCCAAAGAAGGATCTGCAGTGTTATTGGTCTTGACCTGGCATCTTGGCTTCAGTCCCTTTCCCACTGTTGTAACATAGCTTCACTGTGCCTTTTCTATAAATACTTTCATGATAATTGTTCTGATGAACTTTCCTCTTTGGTACATCGACTTTATAGGACTAGACTGACAGCAAGGTCTCATTATCTTACAGTTGAAATGGCTAGGTGTAACTGTAAGTTCTATGCTAATAGTCTCTTCACTGATGCTTTTTGCATTCCAGTCAACTTTGATCTTCAAAATCTTGTCTTAATTCCTGTTCATATTGTTCTCTCTCCTTAATAATGTTTTCTTCTTCTTCTTCTTCTTCTTTTTTTTTTTTTTTTTTTTTCATATTCTCTCACACTTGGTAACGCCTTGTGTCTTTGTGGTTTTATTGCCTTGCTTGGGGTGAAATGATTAATATTATATCACAATAGTTTCTTCTTGCTTGTGGAACTCTCTTCAAACTTCTTGCTTTTGAGCCAACTTTGATCTTCAAAAAAATATAAATGTAATGTCAGTCGTTATCTTTTGTCTCCTTAATTCCTGTTTTTATTCTCTCTAATGTTTTTTCTTTCGATATTCTCTCACACTCGGTAACCTCTTGTGTTGAGTGGCTTTTATTGCCTTGATTGAATTTACACTTGAAATGGCTAGATGTAACAGCAAGTTCTATGCTAATAGTTTCTTCTCTTGCACTTGTGGTTCTCTCTTTTGCCTTCTAGTCAACTTTGATCTTCAAAAATTTTAAATGCAATGTCAATCGTTATCTACTGTCTTCCTGATTACTCTTCTATTGTTCTCACTCAATTTTCACTTGTGGAACTCTCTTCTGGCTTCTTGCTTTCCTGTCAACTTTGATCTTCAAAAATTTTAAATGCAATGTCAATCGTTATCTACTGTCTTCCTGATTACTCTTCTATTGTCCTCACTCAACTTTCGCTTGTGGAACTCTCTTCTGTCTTCTTGCTTTCCTGTCAACTTTGATCTTCAAAAATTTAAATGCAATGTCAGTCGTTATCTACTGTCTTCCTGATTACTCTTTTATTGTTCTCACTCAATTTTCACTTGTGGAACTCTCTTCTGGCTTCTTGCTTTCCTGTCAACTTTGATCTTCAAAAATTTAAATGCAATGTCAATCGTTATCTACTGTCTTCCTGATTACTCTTCTATTGTTCTCGCTCTATTTTCACTTGTGGAACTCTCTTCTGGCTTCTTGCTTTCCTGTCAACTTTGATCTTCAAAAATTTTAAATGCAATGTCAGTTGTTATCTACTGTCTTCCTGATTACCCTTCTATTGTTCTCACTCAATTTTCACTTGTGGAACTCTCTTCCGGCGTCTTGCTTTCCTGTCAACTTTGATCTTCAAAAATTTAAATGCAATGTCAATTGTTATGTAATGTCTTCTTAATTCCTGTTTTTATTGTTTTCTCTCCTTAAGTGTTTTTTCTTTCGATATTCTCTCACAATCCGTGTTTCGTGGCTTTTATTGCCTTGATTGAATTTACACTTGAAATGGCTAGATGTATAACCGTAAGTTCTATGCTAATATTTTCTTCTCTTGCACTTCTTACTTGTGCATCTCTCTTTCAGCTTCTTCCTTCCCAGTCAACTTTGATCTTCAAAAATTTAAATGCAATGTCACTCGTTATCTACTGTCTTAATTGCTGTTTTTATTATTCTCTCTCCTTTATAGTGTTTTTTTTTCTTTCTCATATTCTCAAACACTCAGTAACCCCTTGTGTCTTTATGGCTTTATTGCATTGCTTGGGGTGAAATGATAAAAAAAAAAACAATTACATTAAATGTTTAACCAACAAATGCTGAATATTTCTTATATGGAAATGACTAATTTCATTAATAACATTGCCATGATTATGGAAATATTTTCAGAGATGACTCTTTAGTTTACTTGATCCTCGCTAAGTGCTCCATTTTATTGCTTTTTTGCCAGACTTGACAAAGATTAATATCTGTTTACTAATACAACAAAATATCACAAATATTTTCACTCTTATGGGGATCTGATAGGGTATCTGTTTCTGTTTTATTCAAAGCTTACAACATGAACGAAACATTTTATTTAGAAATTGTTTTTAATTCAAGTCTGAAAATGTGTAAGAAAGATTTAAAAATTGACTGGTAAACATGCATTTTCTATCACCTGTTCTGCTTGGTACCCTACACACCTTAAATACCCTTTAACCAACCTTAATTTCTCAATAACATAGGATTCTAAAGCCACCCAATGGCTCTTATTGAGTATTTAGCTTTGCTGGCATTCAATGTTGAAATAATTGAATTTTAAACCTTTAGGAGTGGCCCTGATTGATATATAAAATATATCCTGAAAAATTTGTATTTTTTTTTTTTTTCTTTCTGAAGTGTTGTAATAATTGTATTTTAATTTTCATACGGGTTTATAATCCACCCATGATCTTCTTGGGGTGGGATGGTTGTTTGGAACTTGGGAGTAGAAAGATAAAACAATTCTCTTTGTTCTGAGTATGAGTTCTTTGCGTGTTGGTGTAGCAATCCATAAGAATTTAGTGTCCTTATTTTATGTGCTGTACCCCTTCAAGGAGTGGGCGATCATGGCTCTCCACAACTTCCTATCCCTTGTAGCCCTTAGTGAAGTTTGTCTTTTTTCTATATCTCCTAGTTCCTGTTCTGCCAACATTTACACATTCGTTAGGTCAGTTATACACTGCTTTCCCCTGTCTCTCTTGCCTTCAATAGGTTCTGAATATGGGGTGGGGGTAACATGTGAATTTCAGATATAATTCTCAAAGTTGTGGGTGTTAACTGGTAGCTTTATATTAGATTAGAAATAACAGAATACTAGTATTTGTACCTAATTTAACTCTATAAACCAGTAATAGTTTTTTATTTTGTTTTTAGAAGTTTACAAGCCACTAGATTTGATTAAATCTTAAACAGTTCTACTATTGATGTCAGTATGGCTTTAGTAACTGAAAAAAAAGTAAAATTAAACAAAAGTTACTAAATACTTTATTTTATACTGTATTAAGTAATTTTATCAATTCTACTAGTTTACTTTAACATGGGAATAACTAAATTTCCGTATACAGATTTAAAAAAAAAAAAAAAAAAAAAAAATTAACGAATTATAAAAAACTAATGGCAAGCAATATAGAACACATTCCCAGAAAAGAAACTTTACAAACATCAACCAAGCATCAGATAGGGAAACGTAAAACTACTAAAAGAGTGAAGAGAGGATACTGTTTTAACTAGAGTTTGTATTGGGCATAGAAGACGAATTCATGTACACCTGTTAAGAGGTGAAGATAAACTCTATGCAGTCATAGATTGATGTTTAAGCACATTCTGATTAAAGGTAAAAGCTATCAGTTTAAATGTAGTAAATACCACAATGTCACAAATACAGTGTAACCCGGATATAATAGAGATTTTCTCTGGTCCCAAATTAGAGCCTGTGTTAATGTATACATATAGACCAAACCCGGATATAAAAAACATTGTTTAAAGATGTTGCCCCTGGCCAGAAAATAGGATTTTTAAAAGAAACATGAATATAAAAATGTTTCTTTATGGTTATATAAGGTGGACTGTTTTAAACAGATTCAAATTGACAGATTAAACTATTTAAAATGCAGATAAATTGTAGCTTGTAGCAAAATGAAATGCAAGATAATTCTTCTCTGAGAGATGTTTAAAATGTACCCAGTTTCTTTTATATGTTTAATTGATCATTACCCAATTTTAGTTAGTATCATTTGCTGGGCATCAAATATCAGTTTTCCTCATCACTTTCCTTGTATATTTATCAGAAAACATCATCTAGACTTCTTTTTGGGGGTGCTAAATTCATTTTTGGCACTGAAAATCACCCCACCCCCAAATTAGCTAAATGCAAAATTTAATTTTTTTTTTTTTTTTCTTAGAATTCTAGATCTTTACTGCAAACAAGGGTTTCTACACTTAAACCTTTATTTTATTTTTTTATTAAAAATGTTGTTTTAATCTTTCTCCTAAGTATGAATAGCATTAATACAAGTTTGACAAGTAACCTCAGCAGGCAGGTTAGGTTTAAGGCTCCAAGCTCTCCACTCAGTAGGACAATTGCCTAGTA